GTAGGACACATCAACATGAAAGAAATGATGCTCAACACAATCTCTGTCACCTCATTACTCTTGAGCTCCAGCTTAATTACCTCCCTGATGCTTTGCACAGCTCTTAACCAGACATTCGATGTCTGCTTAAAAATCTGCCATACAAAATGAAGTGATGATTATATATCTTCTCTCTTCTGGGGAGATGAGCTGTGAGGTTTGGTAAATATCATTTCTAGTGCACCCAGAAGGTGCACCATATTGTACAGGCCTTCTCCTGCTCTACAGACAACTTGCTGGAGTTCACAGATGACTTACAAAGATCCGCAGAAATTCAAAGTCATATCATGAAACTCATTTAAAGATACTAGCAAAGTTTTAACCCTAGTAAAATTGTGGTTTATTGTTTACAGCTCTGAAGAGAGAAGTTATGCTAACAGCTACCAAATTCTGACGTCCTGTATTTCACTATGACTGTACTGACGTCAGTGAGACTGCAAGAGAGATGAATTTGATGGCTTATTTTCAGAAAGTCTTTGAGTTTCTTGTGTGAAAGTCAAAGTGTGTGTATGAGATGTGCTTGAACTTCATGCAAATCTTCCTCCTGGTTCAAACGCAGGCCTGGGTCTGCCATTTCAGTACCTGCTATAGTATTCCAGTAATATTAAAAAAAATGTAAATGAGGTGCATGCCGAACATCACATCCCTAAGTATTGATAATATTCTTGCTTTTAGAGTATTAAATAAACAAGGTATAGCTGCCAAGTTATTATAATGTTGGCCGTGGAAAATGTGTGGCAAGTGTGGGACCACGTCCTGGTCATTTTGGCTTGCTTTACACAGGTGTCCCATCTGCCTAGACTCCAAAGGGATGCCACTGTTGGGTCAGTACTTTGGCATGGCTGTGCCACGTGGCACAGCGCTCTCAGCCGTGCAGCCTCCACCTGAGGCTGTGTAACCCCTCAGTGTGAGGCACGGCACAGCACAGCGGTTCTTTGCAGCCTGCAGGGGAGAGCTGTGGCCTGGCTGCATGCCTCACAGGCACGGCCTCCAGCACAGGTCCACTCACACCTCCCCAACCCTGCTCCCTGAAAACTATCAGTTTTCTCTGCCGTAACAATGTGATGCATTAGAGTTTTGAGAAATATTTCTAGTTCTAGTTTTATATATATAATATATATATATTTATATTTATAATATAAAATATAATATATATATATTATATTAATATTTCTATATATATTTTCTTTCTGGAGGACATTTTGATAGCTATCTCAGGGTTAATTTTATTTCTGCCCAAGCAGCTGCTGTTGAATTTTGGCTGTAGAGAGCTTTTCCTTTATCCATTAATCTCAGATCTGGTGAAGCTAGGAGAGCACTGAGGTGTGCACCTCTGTTTTTACAGTGCTAATGACAGACTTGCAAGGAGAGTGTGTGTGTTTTGCTGGGGTTTTGCTGTAATGCTGATTCTTTTTCCTGTGCATGGTTATACTTGGACGTGGCGTGCTTAAACTTACACATCAAAGTGAATTACCAAAATGATCCACTTGTGAATTGTGGGTCATTATCTGTTATTAACTCATCTGGAGCAGTGTGGTGAGCAAACGGTAATTTATGGTATGTTATTACATTTCTCCTCACTGTGGTGTGTTGCAGCTGAATTTGACTGTGTGACAGCCCCTAACGAGAAGTAACCTTTTCTAGGCTGTTCAAATAGGTCTTTGCCAACTTCTAATAAAGTTGATCAAGAATGCAATTTACTTTTGATAATCCTGTTTTTCCTCTTCCTGCTTCTCCCAGCACACTTAGCAGAGGAGAAGGTCTCACCTCCGCTTCTTTTCAGTACAAGCTTGCTTCCAGGAAAACTTGGAAGCACAGCCGCAACCTCCTCCAGTTCCCTGCCAGATTTCCTTCACGATTTAATGATTCAGGTGGCTTCATTTGCTAATTTTTTGCCAAAAAGAAAGAAAAAAAGTCAATCTCTACTGACACCATATAATAAAGTTGAGCAAACAGGAGGGCTGGTAGAAGCTTATTTTTATTGCCTGGCTCTAGTCACATGACAGATTGGGTTACAAAATACTAATGCCCCTGCCAACTCTGGAGATCCAGCCATTCCTCTTGCTACTGTTTTAATCCAACCCATTTTCTCTTCTTTATTTATTTATTTTTTTTCTGGGGGCAGAGGGCGAGGGAGAAGGTATTAAGCTGGGGCAGCAGATAAAGTGAAAAGCAAGTGTATCGTGATTGGGAGTATCCCTTTAGCTCCTTCAGTGTTTGTTCAGCACTTTTTCACCAGCTGAATAGCTTATTCCTTCCGAATGTTGGCAGCCTTTGGCAAAATTAAAGCAGTGTCAGCATTCCCCCGGTCCATCTCTTTTTTTGGAAAAGAATCGTTAAAAATATTCCATTTTCACCTTGTTTGCAAGTTGTGATGAAGGCTTCTCCCCTAATTAAATTGTGACATTCTGGCTTGAAAAATAGCTTCATGATTGGAAAGATAAGCTCACAAAAAAAAAAAAAACAAAAAAAAAACAAAAAAAAAAAACACCAAAAACCACCTCTGCTGCACTTCTTTTGGAAACAAATTCAGCAATTCAGTGGAATTGCTGTTTTTATTATCAGTCTCAAAGGTTTTCAGATAAAAATTGCTGATAAAACAATACATTTGAAAAATGTAAACTTTATACAAGTCTCTTGAGTTCTATATCATAGCAGTAAAATCCCCTATTAAGAGGGAAGGCCTTTCAATTTGTACAAAAGCAATCTCAGTACATTGTGAACAGACAGGAGTCTGCCACACTTGCATAGCTATGATAGCTATGGCATGTGAACATCCATGAGTGCTTGTGTGGAGAACAGGAGATGGTAGAGTTCCTCTGCCCATAATCTGTATTTTACGGGCACCAAGCAACGCTAAGAGGAACTGAACAATCAGAATGCTGGGTGCAAATTTCTCAGGTTGTTTCCTTTTTTCCCCCATATCTTGGTACATTAACTATCATGAGACAAGGGCCTTCCAAAAACATGCATTCCTAAACCTTTCTCATGTTTTAAATGCATGCAGTAAGTTGCATGCTGGAAACACACATTAGTCTTCAATGAATTCTGAACAGTTGTTCCCGCCTTCTCTGTATTCCCATTGTCTGGAATGTGTGCTCTTTCCATTTGCGGTTTCTTTTTCTTGCTCCTCTGCTCTGAAATACTTACTCTCCTTCCTGAATTAGTAGTGTCTGTCTGGCTGCACAAAAGTGCTTCTTCATAGAGGTTTTCCTCTATGAAACTTCCCTTCTCCCAGCATACACTGGGAGAGCATACACTGAGATGCCCAAGGCATACACAGCCTTTGGCACTACAAATTCCTGCAAAGAACTGTACAGCCCCTGATACGGTAGCTGCACTGCTACTGCTGCCTGGATAGCTAGGTTAAAATGGAAACAATTATGGCAGCTCCCAACATCAGGTTGAGATTTTCATGCAAAATGGGGGAAAACTGTGCTCATCCCACAACATTAAATGTTTTTGCTGCATAAGATGAAGAGAGAGGAAACATGCATCTGCCCTCGTCTTCAAGGAGCAAGGAGCTGTGGTATAGGAAAGTGAGGAGACCGCACAAGAACTCACTGGTGCATGGAGGGGTCAGCATTCAGATGAGGCCTATAATCCCTGTGCTTCAGCTACAAGACCACCCTTCTTCTCTTTTGGCAAGCTGAGTGAAGTTTCTTTTGCCTTCCGGTTTCTGTGGCCATGGTAGTTTCCAAGGAGGAGTATGTTGCAATTGTTTTAGTATTTCCATTTCTGTTTTGCTTTCACAAGCTGCCTATAAAAATCTGCAACATAATTGCATCATTCTCATTCAGGTCTCTCCTGAAAATCAAACCCTGACAACAACCTCTCCAATGAGGAGCTCGTTGTGCCCGCTCCCCAAACGGGCAGCACTGGAGGCAGCGCATCCCTGCAGCGACTCCTTCCAGCGGCTGCCTCTGCTCACTGTGGATACAGGCTGCAGAGGCAGGAACCATCCCCATCTGAGCCCGGACAGGGCTTTGGCCTGTCCACACCTCTGAGCACAGCATGGGTTGTGTCTCCTGAGAATGTCAGCTTCAGGAAGACTTAAGCAAAATAAGCTCCTCACAGGTGAATTTGTGTATCTGAAACCTTCCCTTCTCAGCTGTCACATGTGGAAAAACACGACGAGCATAAGGACATCCACAGTGAGGGAACGGCAGCGTTGGATGTGCGTACTTGCCGGGCCGCCGCGAGAACGGAGTTCCGGTACGGGCGACTGCGGCGGTGCCCTGACGGCTGCTGCGCAACACCGGCTGTGCGCGATCATAGCGCCCTCTGCTGCCTCGCGGTTTGTCTGCAAGAAGACAGCGAGCGACTGCCGACACCAGAGCGGACGTTTTGGGGACGGGACTCCGGTTCTAAATTGCTTGTTTGTTCTACTTTTAATGTACTGGGTAACGACCCCCCCGAGGATGACCACGCGAGGAGGCACGGCGGCCCTCCCGCAGCACCGCCGGGTGCAGGATCAGCGCCCGCTGCCGGGGCCGAGCAGCCACCCGCGCATCTCCTTTCTATCCGTCTGCAGGGAATTCCTTCCACATCTGTGGCCGTGGGGAGGGACGACAAATCGCCTTTCCGCGGGAGGAGAGCTGCGAGGCCCGAGACCGCGCGCTGCCTTAGACCGCCGCTCACCGTAGCCCCAGCCCGCGGCTCTCCCCCCTAGGGTCGGCCGTTCGCACGGCCCGCTCCAGCAGCGCCACGCCAGCAGGCCGAGGCGCGAGCAGCCGAAGCACCGCCCTTCGCAGCGCCGCAAAGGCCGCGCCTGGGCGTGGCGGCGGCGGCGCGTGGCTGACGTGGCGCTCCCCTCGGCGGGGCGGTGCCTCGCGAGGCGGTCGGCGCCGGCCCCGCCCCCCGTGCGCGAGACCCCGGGCCCGCTCGGTCTCTCCCGCGGCGGGAGGGAAGGGTGGGGTGCGCTTGGCTCCGCCTCGCGCCGCGCATGCGCTTCTGAGCGCGTGCGTGAGTGAGTGAGCGAACGCGGCGCTTCCGGCCCGGCTGCGCGGCGTGGAGCTGAGCGGGGCGATGGTGCTGCTGGAGAGCGAGCAGGTGGGGCCGCGCCGCGTAGCCGCACGGTCGGGGTTTCGGGGCCCGGCGCTCGGGACTCCGGCCGGTCACCGGCCGCGCGAGGCGTCCCCGTGCTGGCCGTGGCGGGAGGAGGCCGGGCGGGACCCCGGGACGTGCCAGGCCCGGCCCCCCCCGGTCGGGGCTGTGCGCGCGGCTCCGAGCGAGCGGGCCGACGGCGGAATCCGCAGCCAGGCGGTGTGGTGTGCTTGTGTTACAGTTCCTCACGGAGCTGACGAGACTCTTCCAGAAGTGCAGGACTTCGGGGAGCGTTTTCATAACGCTGAAGAAATGTAAGTGTTCGGTGTGGCGGCGGCGGCGTGAAGAGGTGCCGGTTTAAATCGGTGCTGCGTTAGGAGGTGTGGGCGTCTTCGGGGCGTCTGGCGAGAGCGGCACGGCGCACACCGACGAAGCCGATACCATGCGGCTGTGTTTCGAGCTGCGGGCAACGTGGGGGCTTTCTGGTTGTTAGACGCTAATTGGAAGCTCTTAGGCTTCTGGAAACGGAGAATTAAAACGTTCTTAACCTTTCTTAAGTTTCTCGATAGTTCTTGGTGGGTTCCAATTGGATGTGAGAGGAAAACTCCGTGCTGTGAGGACAGCGGGTGGTTGGAGTGACCTCCTCAGGGCTGTGGTGGGTCTTCCAGCTCTGGAGACCTTGCAGGTTCGGCACGGCGAGGTGGTGGCAGCTCGAGGGGCCCTGTTCCCACGAGAAGGGTGGGCAGGCTGTGATCTGAGATTCCTCCCCGTCTGGGCCGTGCTGTTTCTGCAATTGGTACCTGGGGCCGTAGTTTAAATCAAGTTTGAAGCCTGGTGCTGCTGAAATAAGCAGCCCATACAGCGTGTCTGTAGGAGAGCTTGCATATTTTTCTTGGCTTTCTTTTCAGGCAGAACCAGTTTATGTGGTGGACCATTCTGCAATTGCAGAGGGAGGGATCTGAAAAATTTTCATTCATTTGAGGCTGTTCTAAATTTCAAGGTGTTTTACTGATCTTATGAGCAATTTTTAGCATCTCGGGTCAGCAGGCATCGCATGATTTTAGTGAAATGTGAATAAACATTCTCTATTTGCCAATACAGATGATGGTCGAACAAAACCAGTTCCACGCAAAGGCCACGTAGAAAGTTTTGAGCCAGCAGACAATAAGTGTCTTCTAAGAGCTACTGATGGAAAGAAGAAAATCAGCACGGTGGTGAGTGACAGCTCTGTGTTAGAATGATGAGCAGCCCTACTTGGCTTTTATGCAACACTCCTGTATTTAAGTGAAGCTGCCTTAAGTGGATTGCACGAGAACTGCCCCCTTTGTTCTGCATGGAAGTAACTGAAGGCACAGCTGACATTGGGATGCCAAAACGTTACACTTACTAAGCGTATTACAGATAGGGGACAACTGTTTAGTTGTACTTTCTTTACCAGATTTTGCTTCAAAATGGTATTGCTGAGCAAGCAGGAAAGGACTGTGTCTGTTTTCCACAACCTTGGGTGTTGAGGGAGGGAGAGGGGAAACTGATTCTAGAGAGATGAGGATGGTGTGGGCAGAAAGCCACAGGACAGTGATGGAACCTGCAGGGTGAGAAAAATGCCGTGGCTCCAGGAAGAAAGGTCCTACAGTCAAGCTCAGGTGATGGAGGCAGCTTCTTATAGAGCTTGATGGAATTAACAAAGGTAGGCCTGGCATTACTGTAGCAGCCAGGAAATAGGGAAATGTTCTTTGACTGAAATAGTAGAAAAAGGATTCTTGTTTCTTGTCAAGGATATGTGGTATGGGGCAGACACTTTGAAGCCTCAATCTTACTTAGCGTGCCTAGGTTTCTTTGTTTGTTTAAATTACCCCCTCCCTCATTTACAGAGCTTCTTGTATTTCAGGAAATGTTAACTTTTGAAGTTGGGGACCTGATGTGTTTATTTTGTATAAGAGATTGGGAAAGGCTTTAGCTGACTTTAAATGTCCTCTGTGATGTAATCTAAGGGAAAGCATTAATTTTAGAAATAATTGAGAGAATCTGGGCTATAGCATTTCATTCCAGGATTTGTGTTTCCACCTACAATTAAAGCGTGGCCTCATAGTAGAAGCAAATATTCTTTACTAGAATGTTTCTTCACCTCTTTCCTATGTGAAAATGAGTGGATTTGGGAAGGACAGCCTTCCGAGGATTGCTTTAATCTAATTAGGAGTGTTTTCAGTTTTCTATGTCAGTGAAGTATTATGCCATGTCAGTACAGCCTATGTGTATATGTACATATACGTGATGTTGTGAAAAGAGATAGCTACTGGTGGGTGAATATGTACTGATAGCTTGTAATAGAAGCCAGTGCTCTCTTGGTTAACCTCTGGTATTACTTTTGTAGGTGAGCTCAAAGGAAGTAAATAAATTCCAGATGGTAAGTTTTGCAAGCCTTCTATTTTCCTTTTCTGTAGGTATTGGGGAGTAGGCAGTAGGAGCAATGGAGAGCTGGGGCCAGGTTGGTTCAGCACTGAACTGACATACAGATTAATCTCAGACTGCACACATCCATCCATGTAAAACAATCAGTGGTTTTATCTAACTTTCTACAGTGGTTTAGAAACAAGTTTCCCAGGGTAGTAGAGGAAGGCTGTAACTGAGAAAATGAAGATACACATCCATGAACAGTATGTAAACTAGTATATACTTGAAGTATCTCTTCTTTTAATGGTTCTAATTATTGTTTCAGGCGTATTCTAATTTGCTGAGAGCTAACATGGATGGCTTGAAGAAAAAGGACAAGAAAAGCAAAAACAAGAAGAGTAAAGCAACACAGTGATGGACAGTGTCCTACCATCACTGTAATAGACTTGACCCTTGCTCAAAGCAAAGTCCATTTCTTTTTGAGTTACCACTTGTCTTTGGCTTTTCTTTTCCAGCAGGATACTGGGATGTGATCAGTACTTTTGTTTAAATTGAAAGGCAGAAGGTGCTTTCTGTGGATTGTTGTATGGCAGGAGTATTTACAAGATTTTACCAGAATAGCTTTACACTCGTCTGCCAACTAGTTTTGTACTTATACTGCTGTATGTTTTGTATTATACAAGTGGGCAGTGCAAAACCCATCTAGGGAATAACGGGTGAAGAGTAATGCACAGCACCATGAGCAAAGTGAGACTGGAACAGGAGTCTTGGTGACAGATGCCCAGTTTTATAGATAAGCCGCAGTAATACCAGGGAAAGCAGGTGCCAACCTATTACCAGGAACAGCAGCTTTCCTGTTTGTCTTATTTTGAGGGACTTGTTTACACGATGCAGTACAGATGTCTGTAAGGCAGCCAGAATGTGTTTGAGCTCCCACAGAGCTTAGCAGCTGTGCCTTTTCTCCATGCTGACCCAGCTGTGCTGAGCCTGGCTTGGGGCGGGGAGGGCAGGGCAGGATGCTGCATCATGGTTCCTTCAGGCATAGCTTTAGAATGCTTGTGTCACCTGAGCGTTTGTTTTTTAAGGCTTCATCCTTCAACATATTCAGGGATCTGGATTTCCCCATTTTCACATCGTAAAGTAACTCCTTCATATGAGCAGATGTAAAAGATGAATACTTACTTGTTCCTATTAAACACAATGAGAAATGGATTTAGTTGTAACAACTGATGTGACTTGTCTGGTGAATGGCTAGGAACGATCCCATTATCTGTGACTTTAGGACCAGTACTGCCAGAGTTACTTTATGTTGCTGTTGCAACCTCACAGTTCTCAGAGGTTTTTGGGCTGGTTTGTCATTGACCTTACATCTTTATATGTTCTAATTTCACCCTCCTTGTTGCTGTGAGAAAAAGGCAGAATAGGTGGGTATTTCTTAATGCACCGACCTTCAGTGCTGAGAACAATTGTTTGTTTTAAGAGAAAGAAGTAGGAACAAGTTACTTAAACACCAGTGTATGTCCAGACATAGATTGCTTTTTTTACATATTCACTCTGGTATATTGAGATTGATGTGACATATAATGCATTATATACAGCAACTAAGGCTGTTACTCATCCTTACATTTATTCAGCTTATTTTTCCTGATGTGTTGGTATTGCAGCTTAGTTTTAAATACACACACTAGTAATTCGAAACAGCATTGACTGGGAAGCTGTAGCTTCAAAAAGAAATTAAGATTCCTTTAATCATTATGTCTTCAAAGGCTTTCTTCATGTGGATTCTAAACTTAAGTTTGCTAGTTCAAAACTTCCGTTATGCTTCTAAGTATGTCAGGTTTCTCTGAAGTCTTACTTTCAGGACCTTCAGGTTTAAAATAAGTTTTTCTGCATAGGGTTTAATTTCTGTCTCCCATGAAGCAGCTGTTTGTTTTGAATGGGAAAGTGTGGGGGCAGGATGGATGTAGGCAGCCAGGCTTGCACAATTCAGCTTCATATGTTTTATGAATTCAGCTACTATGCTTTACAGAAAGATTTAAGATGAATTAAAAAAAGACAAAACTTTCTAATACGTATTTCAAAAAGGCTCAGTAGCCAAACCTTTTATTACCCAAAAGTTCTTCATCAAAAGTCATTTACAGTGGAAGATAATCATATTCTCTGATCCTTGAACTGAGATTCTCATTTCAGCATTGTTGCATAAGGACATAAATGGCATTCTAAGCTGAATTTAAGTAAATCATTTTACACTTACACAGCTGCTAATTTCCATTGTAAGGGAGCAAGAATTACACAGTAATACATATCTCTGGCTGTAGTCAGACTGCTTCTTTAATACCTATAAAACATTTATTTCCATTTCTTGGAATAAATTTACAGCTTATATTACAAATGAAATTCCTTTGTGGAAAACACTGTTGTCTGTTAGTAAGAGCATCCCATAAAAGACGCTCTGAGCACTAAAACAAAACCTTGCATTCATCTCGGTAACTGTACAGGATGAGCACAGGAACCCTGCAAAGGAAACAAAAATAATCTTTTTAAATTTGTGTCAGATTCCAATTGTATTCTTTCAAAACAGGAGGAACTCAGAAGTCCCACCCACAAGGAAAGAGGGTCACAGTGCACTTGTGGAAACAAGTAGTGGAAACATACTTGAACATATTTGTATTTACTATTCAGTCGTTTGAAGAAAGCAACAAAATAAATAAATGAGTGCAGTTTAGAATTTCTTGAAAAGGCTTACGAAGTGTAGAATTTAGATTACCTGAAGTGAGGATTAGATGGTGTTAAACCCCCATTTTGTTTCATGTTAGCCAAAAATAGCACTTAAAGAAACAGGCCTGAATATTTCTTTTTTGTACTTGGGGAGAGGGAAAGGGGAGAACAAATGAAGAGCAGCTTATTAGATGAAGCTGAAATGCAGAAATCGATGGGATATTTCATGCACCTTTAAGAACCTAGATTTACCTCTTCTCCATTTTGATACTGTAAATTTCATCACAGATTGCTTGCAAGTATGAACATCTCTGTTTTGGCCATCGTGACATCAGTTGTCTCACAGTAGCATCAAAGGCATGTCTGGCTCCATCAAACTAAGGAATAAAATGACAAGAAACTGTAGTATTCTCTAGTGAAGGAAGTGCTTCTCTTGGAAGGATTCAGTGTTCTGAACAGTGTAATGTCAATTCTCCTTAATCAAACAGGGTATTAAAAGGATTTAAATGTAATTCATGCAAACACCTGCTACTTGCCTTTATTATTTAAGAAAAGGTGTTAAGAATGAGGCTTTTCAGTGATTGCTTAAGAAAAACAGTTCAGCAAACAAAGAAGCTCTATCCTTTTAGCAGTGCTGGATGGAACATGAGAATTTTAGCATAAGGGCAGTGAAAATTGAATGATCCAAGCTGATCATGTGCCTGTTCCCTGATAAACTATCTCCATGTTTTGGAAGACTGGGTGAAAGAGGTATTTTGAAATGTTCTCATGTTTCACTGAAGTCTGATGACTGTGTGAGCACTGCTTCAGAGCAGAGCAGCATTGTGGGAGGTGTTAAAAGTAGTACTAGATCTACATCCTTCTACAGGCAGGATGTCATTTGTATTTTTGGGGAAGATGGAGAGGTCTCCAACTGTAGTTAAGAACTTTTGACTTCAAAGCCACTGCTTTGTCTACAGCATTCTTTTTTCCTAATCAAGTAGCTTCTGAATTGTTAAAGGGGCCTATATAATACTTATACATCTTCTGTTTTTCTTGGCTCTACTAAGAAAAGAAGTTTCAGCTGCTGTACTCGTATCAACTGCCTCTGTGTTTTGGATCCTCCTTCATTAACAGCTTCAAGAAAGAAACAACTTTGCTGAGACTGCAAGTTAAAACTTACTTGTTTTGGAAAATACACAAGTTTGGATTTCAGATAACTTCTGGGAAAAATCCATAGCTTTGGATTAGGATCTCCTAATGGTGTCTTGTGTAACTTGGGCATTTCCCAAAAAGGTTTTTCTAGCCTCAGTTAAGCTCCCTGGGTAGAAAATTGCTTTCAGGTTTTAAAGCCTAATTCAAATTCCTCAAAGGAGAAAAACTACAACAGGCAAATGGTACGTTCATCTAACCTACACTTCCACTAGAGTTTCAACTACAATACTTAATTGCTTACCTCTAATAATAAGAAGTGTATCAGAGTTTCTTTTGGCAGATCTACCTGCAGCAATATCAAGAAATCAAATATTTAACATTTCTATCATCAGTTTGCCAACTGGAGATTAGCTGCAGTAAGGGGAGTCACTTTTTCAATTCCAAAGAAGCACTCATGCTGACAGTGCTAGGAACATACAAAGCATTTAAAATAAACTGGTAAAGAGAGATTCCATTATGGAATGTTCCATATAGGTGCAGGCAAATAGGAAGTACTTTTTTCTTGAAAAGCATACAGCAAAGTCTGAAAGCCATATACAACAGCTGGATCAATTTAACTGTAAGAACAAATCTGGCAGGAACAAGTTACTAAATTACCACAACAGGGTAAGTACAGCTTAAGACCTTACAACTGAGTACTTGTTCCATTTTGGTGTGTACAATTGGACAGTACAAACAGTCTGAGATACTTCTCAAGGATTAAAGATGCACAACGTGGCCAAGAGTTTCTTTGGTTAATTTGCTGTCCCTAATGCAAGGCTTGTAGTAGCAATTTCTTCCAGACTGCATCATTGAATTCGATTACAGATTTGAAATTAATTCAAGCTTTTGCCAAAATACTTACTGCCAAAATCTCAATTTCACTTGTTTTCTGTTGCAAGCTAGAAACAAATGTCTGCAGTCTTGTTTGCACCTGTCAACAAAAGATGGCCAAAAGTAATTCACTGCTTTTGTGACCCAGGTTGAGAACAACTCTTCTCTGTTTCATAGATTATGAGAACAGAAGAGGCTGCTTCTAGCACGAGATGCAGAACTACACATTTAAACTAAAATTTACCGTCAGTATCACTTTCAGTAACATCCACAACAAACCTTGATAAGTAGACAGGAAGGAGACTGGGGCTGAACAATCTTGCTGTAATGATACAGATTTGGTAGTAGCAGTACTGCACTAAAGCAGACTGGGCTGCACATTAGGTTGTGAAGCCTGGTATATGAAGTTACAAGCTGCCTTTCTGGCTATTAGGTGAGAACCTATGACTGCAGGGCACAGCACAGTATGGCTCACTCTTCTTAATACTTACATACATCAAGTATCTATACATACACAGCTATATAGCTAGCAAGCAAGCTATGATAATTTTGCAAAGGTAGCATTTTATAGAAATAGTTGCAGCCTTACATTAATATTGTCTTCTGTACTCTAATATCTTGAAGCCACTAACCCTAAGTAAGCAAACTGATAATTGTATCGTCACATCGTGCAATCTTTTTACATGATGATAATACTGTATTTCAGAGGCTTAATTCTTTGTACTTATTGGGCACACGTGTACCTGAATTTCTTGGCGACGTCTGGCACTGGCAGATAACTTCTCAGGAGCTATAACACTGACATTAGGCACTACAAGAGTTCCATGCGACTCAAATGCACCTAAAACGTAGAGTTTTACATTATATTTCCATAATAGGAAAAAAAAGTAGCAAAAAACAGAAAATTCACCAATAAGCTTAACATGTAGTGCAGGATTTAAAAAGCTGCTAAAAAGTACAGTTAATCAAGCCCATTGGAGGTGAAATAATCATATAAGTTCTCAAAATGCATGCCTATGACTGTGAAAGGCTGGCTGGCGTGAATAAAAATTTGATATCTTATGTCAAGAAAGTGCTGTACTAAAAAGTTCCAAATGGCTTACAGAATTTATAAAAGAACTTAGTATACACAGTATCGAAAAAGGAAAGCTATTATAAGATTGAAGAAACGATTTAATGCACAGACCCAGGAGACAGTTTGTTTTAATTCACTTTGAAACGTGTTTGAGAGTAGGGGGAAGTGTTTCTGAGAAGATGCACTGCTAGAAAATGTGTCCCTATGCTGACCTTGGCAATACTTGCAGAATGTATGATCCAGCAAGATCTTCTAACAGAACTCAACACAAAGAGAAAATTTTCAGTGATTTATGAAGTGGAGAATAAATACCTGAACTATTAGCGAATGATCCCTTTTGGTTTGGTACTGAGAGGTTATCTGAGGTTTCTCTGAAAGTTAACAAGGACAGTTAAGGAAACAAATTAACAATAATGAAGGCATGCTCTGATAACACATGGTTTCAGGCTGTGGTTCATGCACACTTATTTCATTCCAACAGATAAATTTATGTTTTGTTGTGGAACAGACAGGAACTCATACAGGATTACATTAGCAAATTTGATGCATCAGGCCCAGCAAACGACAAACGATTGTATTGCTATTGTATTGGACTATTGCTTGTCAACAGCACAGCAACCTTTGTGTTAACTTTAGCGAAAAACCGCTGTGCTGCCCATGATTCAAGAGTGATTTAGATCCTAATGCTAGAATATATTAAGAAAATTTTGTCTCTAAATCGTTAACTTAATCAACTCACAGATTTCTGAGAGTTGATACTGGTGATACCAGGATACCAAAGCAGTATTTACACTTGAGATCTTACAAATCAAAATAAACTTTTGATTATTTGGATCCATTTACTTTTACAGTACTACTATGATTGTAATTGTTGCATTTCTATTATTACCAAATATGATTTTTTCTGTGTATTCTGCTCCCAGGATCTAAAGGTAGTCTTTAGAAAGTATGCTTTTCTTTCACAGCATGAAAGAATATATAGATCCTACAGATCTGCCACAAAACACATGAGAACGAGGTTAGTTGCAAAATGCCACAACTGGCAGAGGCCAGATAAAGGAAGAATGAGGAGGTGGGCAGCAGATGTCATCCACCTGTGCACAACATTTTTGAATTACGCATTTCATAGCTTAAAGATTTTCTTTACTGTTAATTCAGAAATATTATGGATATCCAATCTGTTGGCTTATTCATATAAACTAGAATTCAGACACTCTTCCTGCTATCACTACCGTATTTACATACACATGTACATATATGTAATACAAATGTATAAATCAGTGTTCCAGCATATATTTTATAAAGTCTATGTGTAACAGCTCTACTCCTTGTGCACAGCAGTGTAACTGTTGCCTTTCCTGTGATTTCTGCATTGCTGTTCAGCACAACAAAGAGTAATTTCAGCAAAGACACACAGTCCTGCTGCACACCCTGAGTCTTGGCCAGGTGTTACTTTCACGTGTGCCAGTCAAGGTGTGCAGTTGTGCTGGAGTCACACATTCATTTTTACCCTATTAGCGCTGCCTCAAAACGAGAGGGACCTGCTGCTTAAATTCTTCGATTACAGAGTGCATGAATGTAAATAGCTTCTAGTCAGTAATGGGAACTTGCAGGCAGTCCTGCCATACAAATGATACTGCTGTTTTAGTTGCATTTGAGCTGGATGGATACATACATAGTCTTCTAATTTGAGAAGCACTAACCATGTTTCAGTATAACAGCTTCTAGGGAAATCAGTCTCTTAATAATAAAATTCTGTAGCTAAGCCTTTTGCTTTCTTTTCCCCTCAAAAAGAAATCAGTAAAGCTCATGTTCTATATTGGGTACTACCAAGGTTTAACTGAGTATATAATTATTTCATTAAGAAAACCATATTTATGTCTTTACTTTGCGAAGAATTTTTTTTACTTACCTACTACATCTTTCATCACAGATTTTAGTTTTCAATTTCTGCACCAGGTGATCTACTAAGTCGGATTCAAAAATCCTTTTCTCCGTCTGTCTGTCTTTCTCAAAGGATTTCACCTATGATGTATTTCAGTGAGTCTTAGCGTTGTTTCTTAAAACAGCATATGAATAAATGTCTCAAGACCAAACTGGGTTATTCACCTATTAAAGGTGAAGCAGTCAAATGGAAGAAGCTGTCATCATTAGCAATCAATCACTGTCCATTAAATCTTTGATTTCTATATATTTTCAACCAACTAATCTACTCCACATTCCCAAAACTTAAACTATCTCATCTACTTTTATCTCATATGTGATAGATGACATTGAACAAAATGGTTCAGAGGTGCAGATACCATATTAATAAGAGCTTATTAGGTTTGGGGCTTTTCCTTTTTTTTTTTTTTTTCTTTTAACATTCTAGTACTTAGCAGCCAAATCTACATTTACTTGAATTCCATCTACTGAAATATTTGATAGAAAAATGAAATGTTCATGATCCTAAGAAATAAAAAATACAGAACAGATTTATCAACCTGAAACACTACTGAATGTCCTCTGATACCACGCTTACCTTTACATGACTTCCTTCTTTGTCTGATACAAGAGCTACGTATGTAATCCCAGAACATCTGCAATACTCCTGCAGTTCTTCCTGGGACTGAAATAGGAAAAGGGAAAGAGGAATGGGATGCAAATTTAACAAATTTAAACTGATCACTTAAATAATCAGTTTCCCATCTTCAGTTACAATAACTTTATATGCAGCAGTTACATTCAATATGAAAAGTTCGGAGCGAGGAAAACTTTACTAACAAGTCCAGGAGATGAAACTTAATTTTGCATGGATACATTCACCTAACATTCTCTAAGAATCAAAATTTAAGTCTATACTCTAGGCAGAATGTAAGTCTAAGCCCTGCAGTCCCAGTTCCTTCACAGAACGTTGGTTGGATCCACTTTCTGGGCAAGGCATGCTCACCAGCACAACACCTCTCCCAGCTATCCAGCCCTTTCAGCAAGGCAGCACTGGGGTAAATGACTGTTTCCTCTTTGCCATCTGTCCTCCAAAAGGAATCATTAGTAATAGAAGATAAGTGAAATGCAGTCCAGTCTCCTTTCAGCATAGGTAAAGATGCAAGGATGTACGCCTGCAACGTACAGCTGCCTTCACTGTAGACTATGAATGCCTTTAATGCGTTTCAACAGATTTAGAAGATAACTGGAACCAACCAAAGTCTATTTGGAGATTCTGTTAGGGTGGCACCTTCAGGTCACCTCCTTCATTGCCCTCACTGGTACAAAATATGCTTAAATGAGGCCAGTTAGCTCTCATTTAATTTATTCTGTGACTTTCCCCCTTGGGGAAATATACCTTGGACTCTACACTCAGTTTATAACCAGGGAAGGTCACTTAATTCCACTGTGCTCTGAGGAGTTCTCCGACACATTTTTAAAAGGTCTGGTAGCTGAAGAGCATGCAAGGACAGTGAGAATCTACCCAAATAGCAACCTGCATTCTCAGTTTTCTGAATTTGTGATTCAATTACAACTAATTTTAAAAAATTGAAAAAGGATGGTCTCAGCCTGTGCTAATCTTAGAGAACAGCAACATAATTAATACATGTAGATAGAAATTCTACCTGGGACCAGTCATACATTATTTCAGCTGGAATTCCTGCAGTCCAAAGTTTCTGAACAATATTGATAGCTCTCCCCATTGACATCTGACCAACACTTACAACCAGCAAGTCACATGAGCTGACAGAAATCTGGAGGAAAAGTAAGAACAAGGGGGACAATATTAGCCACCAGACCATTTCCAGTTTATTAATGGAGTTAAAAGTAACTAAGAAGGATACATTTTTCAAAATGTAACAACCTGCAAAAGGTGTTAGATCACCTCTTTCTAAAGCCACCGGAGCACATTTGGAAGGTGCTGAAGCTTACTCTTTGACAACAAGCAACTGCAAAGCCTCAGCCTACAAAAGCCTCCCAGCCTATTCTGTTCTTCCCTTCCCAATGAACTTAGCAATGTTAATTTATTCTTACAAAAAAATAGTTAATGAAATAACATATTCCACAACCAAATGAAATTGTGTGACATCCAAAGTCCATTTTCTTAAAGTTCCTTCCTGGAAGAGGCAAAATAAGAATAGCTGAATATCTACAGTTGTATACTTTCATCTGAAACAACATTTAAGCTGAGGAAAGGCCCATTACATTAAAAAGTTCTAAAACTGAAGATTGCCTGTTCCCTGGCTTCACTAAATAATGCTATGTGTAGACATGGAAGAAAACAAGTCAACTTGATGTTTGCTGTTTCAGAATGCTTTTTTGGATCACATCTGAATCTGTTATTTTTTGCCCATCTGTGGTTACAGGTAAGTTACTGTCAGAAGTAAGCAAACAAACATTCCCATCTCCCCAGCACCAAACTTACAGTATCCTCCATACTGGAAACAGCAGCAGTTATTTTATCTATAGCTATGCTGACTCCAACAGCTGAAGGCACCGGTCCTACTGCCTGCGGTCCTCTAAACTGTGGGATCTGAAGATAAAAAAAAAAGACAAAACTAAAGAACCAAATAGTTATCTTTGGAAAATGTCAGAAGGATTTTTCAGTTCTCACTTCTTTGTGTTCTCTTTTCCTATAAATTCATTAAGAGATGTACACATACCAGATGATCGTATCTGCCCCCGGCAGCAAGAATTTCAGGCACAGTTCTTTGCCTTCTTTTGATGTATGCTACAAACTGGAAGATGATACCGTTGTGTTGCTGTATTTTGTAAACTAGTCCCAGATTTATGGAAATCTGTAAAATAAAAATGCATAAGTGAACAATTCCTCTACCATTACTGGTTAATGTAATTTATTTCCTATTAGATGTATGCACTGACAAGACTGTTCTCACATAAGAAGACATATGGAAAGATTATCTCCAAAGATTAAGATACAATTAAAAAGTCAGGAAATAATACTTGAAGCTTAACACATCACAAGAAAACTAAACAGCAAGCCATAAGGAAAGTGGAACATGATCAGTAAGCATCAGCTTTCTGCATTTAAAAAATATTTATAGCTTATTTCAAAACATTTATTTATGCTTCAATCTTGGTTGGAAAGATAATCCCTTTGTAATTAGATAGAAATGGAGCCAGAGACTTCCAACTGAAAAAAGATCTTGTTCTTCAAACACCTCTCCCAAAATGACTATCAATATTATTACCTGCCATCAAAGATCTTTCAGCGTGCTTTTTCTACTCTCAAATATCATTAGTTTGTTTTGTGATAAATTACAGGGCCCAGGAGCCTACAAACAACTGATTTATTAGCAAAGTGTTTCCACAAACCTGAAGTTTTATTCCAAGTTGTTTTAGCAGACCGATTACTTCCTCTAGATCCTTCATACCATGCTTCAGCAGCTGAGTCACGCCTGGCTTTTGTTTTATCATTGTGTTTAAAAATGGAAATACATTACTTGCTTCTCCCTTCTGTTCAATGAACCTGTAGAGTCGAGAAAGCTAAAAACAAAAACAACAAATAGCACCAGTGAAGGTGCTCATAATGAACACTTTGAGAAAAATGGAAAATATTTGTCTGTTCGAGTAAAATATCAGCCTTTTTTTGCTTGTTTGACCTAGCAGCCTTTGTCTACCTACTGAGTTGAGGACAGGAATGGACACGTACAACTCTCATTGGGGCATCCAGAAATCAACACAACTTTCTGTATGCACACTCATCAACAGTTGCTGACTTTTTTTTTTTATAATTTCTCTCAGTTTGTTTTACTACATGTCACTGTACGGAATTCCATCTACCCTTTCATTACCATAGTCTCAAAAATATGTTTAAGAGAGAAACATGGAAAGTAGCCATACTGCAATGGAGAGCAGAACAAACTCAAACCACTTTCAAAGAGATTAATCTGTTTTGGACAGCGGATTTAACAACTGATTCTTTTATCCTGGTTGAGTAAATTTCAAAGTAAATAAAACTTAAGTAGCTTATGGCAAGTTATGGGGAATTTAACAACAACTTAAAATTACTCACACTATTTGACGTGAGAGAGAGATTACAGAACTTGGCTTCCACTTCTCTTTTAGTTAGCTTTTCAGTCTGCAAGAGAAAGAAGTGCAAACATATTCAGAGCAAGTACGTTGCAGCAAACACTACTGCTGAGAAGAATTAAAACACAAGGTTCCAATGCTTTTAATTACAGGCTGTATTCACAAACTTCAATCGTACCGTAAAAAAGCAAAGCTGATAAGTAACACATTTTCTACTGATGTTTTAGTGAGGCCATATTTGGCTTAGTCTAAGGAACAGGAAGAAGTATAAAAATGTAAACTTCTGTTGAAAAGCACTTCTGCGTAAATGAATACAAGAATTCCCATGTGTTAATTAAAATGATAACAAATAAAATTAAATAATTAAAAATTGAACCATAAAGCATTATGAAATAGACATGTTTTTGGATTTAAATACTACCTTAATAATTTAATTTCATCCATTTTCTTTGCTTATTAAGTGGAAAAAAATACACTATGATATTAAGATTCATTTATTTTTACCAGTTCTTAATTACACAGGTTTACTTCATGAATACTTATTTAAAAAATTATCTCAAAACATCCAAATTCAGAAGTAACAGAGAACGTATTAATCTGAGTTCACTGCCCAAAGGTAGGCAGCCTTTATATCTAACAGGATGTTCCTTGTTACGCTGGCAAATGCCCTGTTACTCATTTTTAGAGATGGCTCCTCTAAGTAAGATACCCTAAACTATGTCTATGAAGATTAGTTTAATTCATATCTTACCACAGCATCATAGAGAATGATGTAAACTTGATTGAGTTTATCCTCTGGTATCCCACAGTGCAAAAGTATAGCTTTCAATAAGGAAGTATGGTTCAAGTAGATACTGTAATTTCTTTCCTGAGTTTAAAAAATAATAATAATAAAAATAAATAAATAAATGAAAAGGAAGAAAACGAGGAACGTTTTATTAGCATTTCTATTTACCTAAACACTAAGGAAAACACACATGCAAAAAGAAAACTCATAGATGTTTTTTAAACCTTCAGCAACATCTCCAACTGTTCAGACCTCTCCTTCCATCACCTTACCTTTCATTTATAAATGAAG